TTATATTTATATATTTATATTGCAATTATTTAAAGATATAGTCAGCAATTCTAAATCATTACACATTTTGTCATATTCAGCTAAACTTTCCTCACATTTCTCTGCCTTGCTTTTTAGTTTGTGTGCGCGCCACAAAGGATCCGAATCGGGCCGACTAATTTCAGCCCATCAAGCACAAGGAGGCACTTTGGTAGAAAACGAAGGGAAAACCAAATGGACACTAACAACACTTTGCATCTCGCCAGGGACACTATGGTTCATTGTCTGTGCTTTGCTTGGCCTTCAGGGTTCAAACGTACCTGTACTCGGTTTTGATTTACATGTGTTAAATTAATCTATAAGCTTTTACTAAAAACATTTCCGTGTGTGTATCAGTGAGTTAATTATAATGAGCTTTTTTGAATAAGGCTGACTGGTAGGGGATGTCTGATCGGTTCCTGGTCTCACCTGATGCTGTGCACAGATCGGCTATCGGAGGCATTGGAAATGGCCGACACATCGCTGTTTGATGATTTAAAGGACAGGTTGGCCCTCATCTGGAGTCACAGAGGGAGGACAGGTGAGCGACATCATTGGTACAGTATGTATTGTGTAAAATGCTGAGGACATGTTTCAGCCTGTTCACCTTTGAATGATCCTCTATCACACCTGCAGAGTCAGAGGAGAGAGTTAGTTTATTACAACACTGATGTCAGTTTTGGTTGGACAGTGACATCACTGTGTTGGACAGTGGTGTCACTGGGTCCTGTGGTAATGTATAGAAAGATGTACATGTTCAGACACAGCTTACACACAGGAAATTCTCTGATAAATTTTACATTTCATTGTACATGTTGCAATGATAAAGTTTAACATTTAAAAGTGACATCACAACATGAAAAAAAAAAACTGCGTTCCTCTCCCGAACACAGCTCTGACTCGATGACATCATGCTGATATCGGAGAGAGTCATCAGGGATCAAATGCGACATATATGATTTTCTTAATTCATAAACAGCAGAACCGAGCTTCACTCTGAAGGTTTACTGTAACAACAACTAAGACAAAGGAAAACCAGAGAATCTCCTGACCAGATGAAAACAGGAGAAACAAACTTCAGCCAGATCAGACAAGAGGTTTCGAGTCACAGTGACATGGGATCCATACCCATGGCACGGTGGTAACGCCTCCTCTTGAAAACAAAACAATGGATGGATGACACAAAAGGAGAAGCTCAACCAAACATAAGACTGAGAAACACTTTAAATGACAAAGACTAGGATGAGAGAGATGAACAGATAGATGGAGGGACTGGGCAGATGGGTAAATCAATGCATGGATTAGGGCTGCGTATTTACATTTGACTCAATTTAAGTGCAATGAAATCCACAAATAATAAATCAATACGGAGATCTTTAGGCTGGTAGTGAACTGCTATGAATAAGGTTAAAAGGAACCCTGTAATGTAAATAATTAGCCTAATTATGTTTGCAACCCCCAGCCTGACAGTCAACGTTAACACAAATGTGCCCTAAGAGAAATCTATTCACATTTGAATTAGTAGGTACGTACAAGCACAAGGAGGCACTTTGGTAGAAAACGAAGGGAAAACCAAATGGACACTAACAACACTTTGCATCTCGCCAGGGACACTATGGTTCATTGTCTGTGCTTTGCTTGGCCTTCAGGGTTCAAACGTACCTGTACTCGGTTTTGATTTACATGTGTTAAATTAATCTATAAGCTTTTACTAAAAACATTTCCGTGTGTGTATCAGTGAGTTAATTATAATGAGCTTTTTTGAATAAGGCTGACTGGTAGGGGATGTCTGATCGGTTCCTGGTCTCACCTGATGCTGTGCACAGATCGGCTATTGGAAATGGCCGACACATCGCTGTTTGATGATTTAAAGGACAGGTTGGCCCTCATCTGGAGTCACAGAGGGAGGACAGGTGAGCGACATCATTGGTACAGTATGTATTGTGTAAAATGCTGAGGACATGTTTCAGCCTGTTCACCTTTGAATGATCCTCTATCACACCTGCAGAGTCAGAGGAGAGAGTTAGTTTATTACAACACTGATGTCAGTTTTGGTTGGACAGTGACATCACTGTGTTGGACAGTGGTGTCACTGGGTCCTGTGGTAATGTATAGAAAGATGTACATGTTCAGACACAGCTTACACACAGGAAATTCTCTGATAAATTTTACATTTCATTGTACATGTTGCAATGATAAAGTTTAACATTTAAAAGTGACATCACAACATGAAAAAAAAAAACTGCGTTCCTCTCCCGAACACAGCTCTGACTCGATGACATCATGCTGATATCGGAGAGAGTCATCAGGGATCAAATGCGACATATATGATTTTCTTAATTCATAAACAGCAGAACCGAGCTTCACTCTGAAGGTTTACTGTAACAACAACTAAGACAAAGGAAAACCAGAGAATCTCCTGACCAGATGAAAACAGGAGAAACAAACTTCAGCCAGATCAGACAAGAGGTTTCGAGTCACAGTGACATGGGATCCATACCCATGGCACGGTGGTAACGCCTCCTCTTGAAAACAAAACAATGGATGGATGACACAAAAGGAGAAGCTCAACCAAACATAAGACTGAGAAACACTTTAAATGACAAAGACTAGGATGAGAGAGATGAACAGATAGATGGAGGGACTGGGCAGATGGGTAAATCAATGCATGGATTAGGGCTGCGTATTTACATTTGACTCAATTTAAGTGCAATGAAATCCACAAATAATAAATCCATACGGAGATCTTTAGGCTGGTAGTGAACTGCTATGAATAAGGTTAAAAGGAACCCTGTAATGTAAATAATTAGCCTAATTATGTTTGCAACCCCCAGCCTGACAGTCAACGTTAACACAAATGTGCCCTAAGAGAAATCTATTCACATTTGAATTAGTAGGTACGTAAACCTTAAAATCAAACAGTTTAGAAGAAGAAGCAGCAGCTTTATTTTATTGTCATTGTAACATTGTGACACGTACAACAAAATTTTGTTTTGGAGCCGAGGGCCCTGGGCCACTGCATGCATACACGCCACCTTCATGGCCAACTTGGGGAGATGACTGCTCTACCCACTGCACCACTGCACTATGTTTACAACTCTCCATTGTTATTATTATTATTATTGAGTAGCAGTAGTAGAAGGAGGAGTAGTAGTAATATACCCAGACCTAGGATGCATTGATAGGTAAAATTAAAGTCAAGCCAAGAAGAAATCATTCATAATTAAATCAAACACACCAGGAGAAGTTGGATGGATGAATTACTGGATGAACCAATGACTGGATGAGTAAACAGATGCATGAATGAAGTGGCAGAGACAGGACAACCAAAGCAACTGTAACTGCTCCACTTTAAGAAACACCTAGTCACAGATTCAGGTGACTAACATGGCACATGATCTAGGGGCTACTGGTCTGCAGGTGGGTGGGGCTACCAGGTGGTACCATACCAATGGCTCTTTTCTTCTGTTGGTCCTCCCATGTGACCTCTGCATTCATGGCAGAGAGAGAGATTGGTCAGACCTCAAAGGCACTTAAGATTCAGAACTGTTCAGGTGATCCATCTGACAGCAAACCGGTACTCATCATAAACACCTCAACACACACTTGGACACCAACACCTGAGTTCATGAGTTTATGAGTGGGTGAGGATCACCTGAACACACCATCACATCCACCTAAGACTGACTTGCCTTTTCTGGTCCCTCCAGGTGTTGCTGAGCGTCTGTCTGGTTCTGACATGAACATGTGTGATGACATCAGCATGAGGTAACAAAGATGAACAAATGAATGAAAGGTGATGACGAAGAATAACATATAGGTGAGATCCGGGACGAAAGTACCGGGGGAGGGGGGTTGTACCACAGACCCAATTCTCTGTTACCACAGAAGTTAAGGTTATGAGACTTAAATCAAATCATCACTCCATTTTGTGACTTTAGTGTGTAAAGTTAAAAAAAAAAGATGCTTTTTTCCAATTTTATATGTTTGAGTGCATACAGTATTTACAAGGTCTAAGTTACAGGAGAGTCCGCGGGGGGCAAAAGTACAGTGCCTGCTGCAGGATGCCGAGTTAGCTTGACCTGTGCTATACCCACACATCATGCCTAGAGTGAGGAAAACTAAGAAAGGAATGAAAAACCCACAATCTTTTCCTTTCTAGCAGCTGAGGAGGTCAAAGGGTTGGTTGGCACTTAGTTCTGTTTGTCACTTCTATAGTCTAGCCTAAACATTTAGTCTACATAATTGTCATATTAAATAAAATTCAGTTAACCCAATTTATGAGAATTGCCACGCCTGCGGGCCTGAGGAGCTGAGCCAGTACTGGGTAGCTCTCTGTGTTAAGTGGGGAGATGTGAGGCAACTGGCTTCAGAGCTTGGCTGGAGTGTCTCAACGACCGTGTTGGGCAGACCGGTGGCAGGTAGATGGTTATCGAGTGTACCCAAGACCTCAAACCTATGAGGGAGAAGGGAATGCAAGGCATACCCACCTCACTTCCGTGAGCCCCTAACTACAGTCCAGGGTGTGGAAACAGTGGGTCTGGAGCAGTTTTTCACTTTGGATTTATCACCCAATCTGGGCCAGAGATCATCCTCCTGGTTTGGTTCAGAGACCAGTGGCTCTGACACTGTCATAGTAGATAGGCCAGGACAGGGGAACACAATGCTGTCAGCAGGGACACAGGAGCTCCTGGGTGCCAATGAGTGCCGGAAACGCTTGTCCTCTTGGATCTGGTGGAGTGAAGAAATTCAATTTTCCAGTTCAATCATGTTCGGTTTTAACTGGAGACATCCTGCGTAGTCTGGTGGAGAAGTGAGTGGAGGCATTTTTAAACGGATAGAAACAGGCAAGGCCTGTGATGTCAGGCGACAGAGTTAAAAACAAATTGAGGTGTACACTAAAATCCCAAAAAGTCTCGGTAGGACTTCAATGAACTGAGTTACCACAACTGAGGAAATAAGGCCATCTCTAAAGCTAAGATGACTTATAAGGGACTTTAAAGGAGGAGGTAGGACAACAAAAAGTACAGATTTAGAGCTCACCCAGTGCAGCAACTTCAGGATACACACTTCTGCATTGATCACTTAAGAGCAGTCTCTGTCACCAGTATTGACCAAGCCACACACGTTGGTAGTGGCTTGGCCAAGATTGGGTTATATGACTAGAAGTGTAGCGTGAAGAACCATTACAATCCTTACACACATCTGCATAACAGAAATATGTGTTTACCTCACAATTTGTGTGACACAGCAGTGGGCTTTAGCCTCTGTACCGGAGTCAAATTCCTATATGTTCAAACATACTTGGCCATTAAGGGTGATTTTAATTCTGAGTAGAGATGAAAGTACAGTTGCGCAACTTGTATTTAAAGCAGGATTACTTTGGGGGGGGGGGTAACGCTTGTTTAACGCTTGTTCACAGAAATGTGTGTGAATATTGATAGGGGACATGTGTCCTCAAATGAAATAGGATCAGAGAAGATACATTCATTCTCACACAGTCAGGATAAAAGCAAAAAATGGTACTTTCGTCCAGGATCTATACAATTGCAGAATCACCAGCTGGACTGACCTACTGGTTTACAGCTACAGACATGTCAAACCAGTGATGTACGTACCTGGAGTCTGCGGGGCCGGGGCTGGTGATGGAGCAAGTGCAGGGGGCAGGATAGGTTCTGGAGGCAGCTGTGACTGGACTACAGGAGATGGCATTGTGGCTAGTACATAGTGAGGTGCAGGCACAGATACAGGTGGAGAAACAGGTACAGGCGCAGATAGAGGTACAGATGTGGATGCAGGGGGAGGTGCAGGTGAGAATGCGGGTACATGTGCAGGGGGAGCTACAGGTCCAGAGGTGGGTGTCGGTGCAAGAGGTGCATGGGTTAAGGTGGGTCCAAATGGAAGTGGGGCTTGAATATGCAGGAGGAGGTGCAGGTGAGAATGCGGGTACATGTGCAGGGGGAGCTACAGGTCCAGAGGTGGGTGTCGGTGCAAGAGGTGCATGGGTTAAGGTGGGTCCAAATGGAAGTGGGGCTTGAATTTGTATGAGAGGAGGTAGCTGGTACTTTACAGGGAGAGGGGCTTGTTTGTGGGTAGTGGGAGGAGCTACTGTTGCTGCTTGTACTCCTGCAGCGGGCTTGGCCAAAACTATGAAGAGCATAAGATTTAAGAGGAAATGAAAAAGATCAGAAAAACGAATGAAAGACCGACAATGGGGTAATGAATGGCCACATGACATTTCAAAATCTGACCAATCACATAGCTGTTTTCACTTCTACCAATATTCAGTGACACTACTGTTTGTCACAAGCCATGACAACACTTTTGTAGTAGTTGATCTGTAGCCAGTTCAAGCTGAAAATACTTGGTCTACTTCAAGCAAATCAGTGCTGGAATACTGCTAAATACTACAAAGTTCAACAGGTAGATTAAACACAAATTAGTCTGTACCTGTCTGCACAGTGTCACAGGGTTCCTCTCCAACTGAAAGACAACTCACTGTTAGACTGCTACAACCCAAATGCCTATTCACAAGCATTTGCTTTAACCTTTATGCAAATGATACACAGCTATATACAAGTCTGAACAGACATCACATGTTAACTTCAGCTGAATTCTGATAATACGAAGACCTTTTCAATGCCCCAGACAAGCTGCATTCAGATCTAAGATCCTCACTTGGTCTCTCTCTTTTAATACTTAGAGACCCCAAATCCATCACCGTACAATTATTTCCTTACAACCATGAACAACCTGCCCAACAAACCCAAGAGTGTAAACTCCAAACCATCTTTAAAATCACTTCTCAAGGTTTTTAATCAACTAAATGTTTCAGAATGTGTGTCTACAGTTTGAGTTCTTCCTTTTAAAACACAAAGTATGAACAGCACAGGTACTGTAACTGTTGATCATGTGAACACTGCCAGCAGCTGACTGGCAGGTAGCTAACACACATACTTCTGTCTGGAGCTCCTCTGGTCGGGATGACAGGCAACTGGCGTGCTCGGCGGTTGAAGACTGACATTCCTGTTGGACTTGGGTTCATCCTGTTATAAAGAAAAAGGACTCAAATTCCCAACCTTACTAGAAAGAAACAAGGTCAAAGTTCAGGGGTCGAGTGATCATAGTCAGCTCTGTCAGTGGAGTGTGAACGTGTGTAGAGAGGTCGGTCCACCATCGCTCGCTGGTCAGCTGAGTGAGAACAACTGTAGTAGTCATGCCAGTCCATCACCCGACTGTACCTGCACATCACCATGACAACCACAGCACCTGCTGGAGGGGTTAGTCAGTAACATCACTGTGATGATCATGCAGCTGTCAGCAGGTCACCTGGTCATACGTAATGGGGACGATGCAGGTATAAGTTTAGAATTTGCCACTGCATTTCCCAGAAGGTATTGGTGAAAGAGCAGAGGCAGCAAAGGATATTGGGAAAGAAATGAAAGTTCTGATGACTTTGATGGTACAGACAACATCAACCTTATTGTCAACGGTTTGACCTGCTGCTGATGAGGTCTCACTCCTCCTGTTGTATCAGGAACATTTAGGAACTGGCTTTAGACAAGTATCCCAGCATGCATTTCACATGGAGAATGTTAAACATTAGGAATTGTCCAATATTTTGGTTTATGACAAAATACATGCAAAACTAATGACAATCCCATCAACCTCAGCTGTGTTTAATGCCAGTTAGATCAAAAAATGATGTAAGTGGACCTTTGAGTTGAAATGATTCTGTCACAGAACAGGTGCATGTCCAGCTGAGGTGGAGATATCATATATATCATATAAGAGCCCTGCTGTCTCAGAAACAAACTGAATGTACTGTGTCCTCTTGTCCTCAGGAGTTTGGACTCCAGAGGTGAACTGAAAAGGACACAAATTTAAACTTGGTGTACTCTCTATTGAGGCGGACCAATCATTTGGATGGAAAGATGAAAAGTTAAGTTAGCCTGAGGCGCTACTACTGTCCCTTATATCTATACCTGTAAACCTGGATAAAGTCAAACTGTCAGTTTACCTCAGGAGTTCCTTGTTGTAGGCATCAGGTTCATAGGGGAAGTCTGGGATGAAGTCCTGACTGAGGAACAGAAAGGCATAAGAACTCCAGAACATAATGACTCTAAAGTCGACTTCATCCTCTAACACTACATCACCCATAACCCTCGGGGCTGACCTGTAGTCCTCACAGCTCCCATTTATCGTGTAGTTTGTCCAGGGAGTGTGGTTTGGACCATTCAAATATCTTAAAAGCACACATGAAGATGAGATGTGATGACTTTTATCCTACAATTACTGCAGCTAATAGTACTGCAAGTACTACTGCAAATATTCATCCTGGAGTTGCAATACCTGAATAACCTCCTAAATACACAGAAGCAGACAGAAAAGTACTACAAACTTTGCTACGACAAGTACTCCAAACAGAACCACAAACGATATTATAACCTATACTACAAATTGTTTTACATCCAGCAATCAAACTGGTACTATGACCAAGGCAAACTAGTCTACAAGCAGTACTACAAGTCCAACCATTAGTTCAAGTACAACAAGTGTTAAAGCCAGAACTTTAACCTACAGCACAACATTACTAAACCTGTATAATTATGAGTACAAGGACTAATAAAACCAATAAGACCAGTAGCACAACCAAGACTACAACTACTACAGTCAGTTACCAAACTTGCACTACAACCAGGACTAACTAGTAATACTGAACAGCCAGTACCAGAAACCAGTACTAAAGCCTATACAGTACTTTGATTAGGTTTGCATTTAATACTATAACCATAATATACAAAGTACAAAAAATTATACTAATGCTACAAGCAGTACTAACTCAGCACCAGAACAACATTCAGTCCAAATTTGGGTCCTGGTTCAGACATGGATCAGAGTTGGTGCAAACATGTTCATACAGTCTTTGCTATATGTTGTTTGATCCAAAAGCAGCAGAGGGTGGGGTTTACCTGACAGGACAGGTGTATCTAATACCTGCTTCTTATTGTTTATTGATTTATAAGGAATAGCTTCTTAAACATATAAATACACTATACTGTGTGCAGACTGAGCTGACTGGCTGTTGTCCAGGTGACCCAGGTCAAGTGTGTTTCCATGGTTACCTGTCAAAGCTGTTGTACTGGCCAGCGTTAGAGTACGCTCGCCTCAGTTTGGAGCCTCGCAGCAACCACACAGCATCCTCCAGGTACAAAGGGTTACCACTGGCACCCAGAAATCAAAGGTCAGCAGTCAGAGAGGTCAGTCAAGGTCAAAGGTCAGGGGTCAGAAATGAAGACAGAATGACATTGAAGGATCGCAAAATGAGACTTTTACATGAATCTGATGGATGTGAAAAGCTTTTTCCACCCTCTCTGATTTCTATCATATAGCACCTCATCCATTCTTGTTTAATTACAATCAACTCATATCTGTACCTGTCTCTTCTTTCCTATACATCTACCTTGTCTTCTTTCCAGTTTCTGAAACAAACTATTCAGCTCCTCTCACATTGGGACCTGGCATGTTGTTTTCTGTACTCATGCTGCTGTGTCACTAGGGGAGATTTTTACCTGCACAAACAGCTTGTTACCTGTGAGGAGGTGGTTGGCTTGGTGACCGTGTCCTCATCCTAACCATGTTGGCTCGAGAGCAGTGATCGGACAATATCACCTGCTCCTGTACTGAGAGGGAGGAGCTGTGGGTGTAAAGAAAACCGCAGGAATAAACCCATGAACTTAGACAGGGACCCGGTCAGACCAGTTTTATCACAGTGAAACAGACTAAGATGTACTCCACCGTAGTTTTATTTTCCAGGAGAGCCCTGTGTTGGTAGAAAACTATTTCTGAAAGCAGCTGTTTCTCCAGGAATAACACCTTGATATCTTCTGCTCTGATCAAGCATTAATACTGAGCAGCAGGACATGTTCACCTGATATCACCCCAATGCCATCTTCACAGTCGTAGTCTGAAAACTCACTGTCACTGATCCTCTGAGACCCTGCAGAGAGAGGGGGAGAGAGAGGACGTTTAAGCCTGTAAACAGCTCCTCTTTAATCCTCTACAGCAAGCTAAACTAATCCGACACTCATACATGGAACAGGTACGAAAACAACTGAGGTTATACCATTAGCTTAGCATCACAAGGAGAAAAGCCCTAAGTGTTAACATTAGCTACAAATAGTCAGCAGCCATAACACACACACACACACACACACACACACACACACCTAGGTCTTACTGAGTAAACATCAAAGGACAGTATCAGCATATTGTATGAGCATGTAGTATCGCTGTTTGTATCAGCGTGTAGTATTGCTGTCTAGTACCTGCGTGCGGTATCACTGTCTAGAATCAGTACATTAAACATTTAAACAATCAAAACCATAAATACAATAATCAACAATAGAACCAATTTAAAAACACCTACACTGACCAATAGAGTCCAAATACAGTCTAATTAGATGTCAAGTGGGCTGGACCAGCACAATCATAGCATAATTACCTATAAATAACAATAATTCCATGTTTTTCCTTTGTTTTCGTGCAAAGAAGTACAAGTACATTAGGAAAATCTTATTTAATTAAATATCCTTTTACAAAACATATCAGCAACAACCTCAGATTTATTACAACAAACATGTGCAATATGCTTCTGATTATCATTTACATGCGTGCATTACAACTGGCCACAGTGTTTGTACAAATACAAAAACCCAGCCACAGATATTTGGAACTGAAAAATATAGTATTGCACTTTAAAATTTATGGCATTGCATGAACAATAGGATTCCATCAAACCAAACTCTTTTGTAGTGAAGCTGTTGGCTTACATTAAATTGCACATTTTTAACTACAGTATTTCTACAGCAAGGATTCATTTTCACAAAACTGTTTTCTTTAAGTGCAATCAGTGTCTGAAGCAGCATTTTGAAGGAGTTAGTCATGTCTAGACTACTTTGTTTTGGCTCCTGAAACTTGGCATCTTTTGGTCTGCACAAGTGCATCAACATCAGGCGTCATGTCCTGAGTAGCAGCCAATCTCAGAATGTCATTTAAGTGCTTGTGTGTGAGCCTTGACCACAATTTTGTTTTATTGATGTTCATTACTGAGAAAACCTGTCCATAAAGGTAGGTTGTCCCAAACATGCACAAAATTTTTGCAGCCAGCACTGTTAATTTGGGGTATCCTGGCAAGATACTGATAAAATGTGTCCAAGCCCACTGAGGCAAATTTGTCCTTCAAATCTGCATCACATTGCAGATCAGAATGAGGAAAATGAGAGGGAAAGAAGGGGGGAAGAGGTGACTATTGTAGAGCAGGAAGTAGCAAAGATTAGAAAGGATGAGGTGAGGAAGGCTCTGAGGAGAATGAAGAGTGGAAAGGCTGTTGGTCCAGATGACATACCTGTACCAGGGGTGTCAAACTCATTTTAGTTCAGGGGCCACATACAGCCTAATAGATGTCAAGTGGGCCGGACCAGCACAATCATAGCATAATTACCTATAAATAACAATAATTGTGTAATATTGATGTTCATTGCTGAGAAAACTTGTTCACAAAGGTAGGTTGTCCTAAACATGCACAACATTTTTGCAGCCAGGGCTGTTAATTTGAGTTATCCTGGCAAGAGATACTGATAAAACGTGACTGTCACTGAGAAGGCGGTCAGACTGACGATGATTCAGGCCTCTGATTCGGATGAAAGTAACAGTTCGGACAACCACCTCTGTACTATCGCCTCCATTAGTGACGTGTACTTACTCTCTGAATTTTGTCACAACACCTGCTTTTCTTCCCATCATTGATGGCGCACCGTCTGTAGCCAGGCTGACGGCGCAGGACCAATCCACTCCGACTCTGTCCAGCCCTCCAACCACAGAGCAAAAAATGTCCTCAGCTGTTGTTGTGTCCATCATAGGCACCAACTCAAGGAACTCTTCAGTCACGGTCAGAGTTTCCACGAATAAACATGGCCAGTTGAGCAACGTCTGTAATGTCAGTGCTCTCATTAATTGCAATAGCAAATGCAAGAGATGACTTGTCTTTGTGTTATGATAGTTCTGAAATCCTTTCCGCCATAGTATTCCTCATCAGACAAATGTTGGCAAAAGCTTGAGGCTTCTCAGGACACATGAGTTCTGCAGCCTTCATCATGACGAACTCACCATCGAAAAACGGCTTTGATACTGTTGCAATTTCATTAGCAATTAGGTAGCTGGCTTTTACTGCTGCTTCACTGACCTCTCGGCTCCCGATGAAAACAGGACGGCCGTTTCCTCAGACCCACCAGCAATTCATTTATCTTATCTTTTCTCAGTTGTCCTTGCAAGATGTCATATTTTTCACCACGATGAGTCTCACAGTGGCGCCGAATATTATATTCCTTGAGCACCGAAACTTGATGACACACCAAGCACACAGGCTTCCCATTTATCTCTGTGAATAAATAGGAAGTGGTCCATTTTTCTTCGAAAAGTCTGCACTCTATATCCACTTTTCTCCAGGTTAGGTACAGTCTACCAGGTAGACTAGTTGTGCCCTTCTTCTACTCTGGTGGATAATTTAGGAATAGCATTTTATTAAGTTCATGTCTTTTATGCATATTTTCACTTTCAAAATTCATCGTGCAGGCCGGATTGAACCCCCCAGCGGGCCTGACCTGGCCCACGGGCTGTATGTCTGACACCCCTGGTCTAGTATCAGCATGCAATATTACTGTTATCAGCGTGCGGTATTATCGTGTATTATCAGTGTGTGGTATTACCGTCTATTATCAGCGTGTGCGTGTGGTATTAATCAGCGTGTGGTATTACTGTCTATTATCAGCGCGCGGTATCAGCGTGTGGTGTCGTAGCAGTCTCACTCTGCAGCCTCCTGCTGGCCTGAGGGACTTCAGGCTGCAGTCCTCTCCTCTGCGGGTAGGGGGAGGTGTTGGGCAGCGGCACAGAGGAAAGGTCATGAAGCTGCAGTTTGTACCAGTGAGGCTGATCGTCCAGCAGAGCTGAGACCAGTTCTATCAGGACCTGAACACACAGAGAACATGGACTTTCACTGGGTGTTTCCTTCAAGAGCACTACATCTGATGTAAGGTTCTGCAAGTTCTCCATGTGTTGTGACCTCTCCCAGGAACTGGCTCTCCTCCTCTCTGACCCGCGCCTGATCCCAGACCGTCACCTCTAACTTCCGTTCTCTGAACTCCCACTGGTGAACTGGCGAGTACATGAAGGTCTGGTTCCACCGAGGTTCCACTGACTTCTTCAGTGTTTTTGTCCTCCGCTTACTCTTATCGCTGCAAGCAGAAGGCACAATCAAAGGCCAGCCACAGAACTGCACTCACAAGTAGTTATAAAGAACCAGAGGCCTGTACCTCAAAGCGAGTCCAATTTAGTCTGGCTCTATTGGGGTTATCTGGCTTTACTGAGCCAAACATTGGCCGGTACCACAACGCCGGTGATCAACTGACCCTGTCTGGGTTTTTTGTCAGTGTACGAGCATGTTCATGTGAAAGGGGCGAAGTTGTTAATTAGAAGCGACATCGTCAGAACCATGGATGAAGTATTGAATATAATATGAGATGGAGCAGTGATACCTGCAGGGAAACTTATATACTGCCAGAGCAAAACCTGATGTTATGGCGAACAACAGGCTGCGGTCACATGACTAGAACAGAATAAGAAGCTGTAGAAACGCTGGGAATAACTTTCAAATATTAAACCTGTCAGTAAAAGACCCGACAGTTTGTGCAGCCAGAGCAGAGATGAGGAGTTATACCCAAAGTCTAACGTTCATTTACAGTCGTGTAAATGACTGTACAATGATCCAGACATTTAACAGTGTCTGGATCGTTCTTCTAATAGGAGAGCAATTATCATCAGCGTCTTCATGTTATTCTGAGCTGCAGTGATGGAGCCTGTAAAAACACTGACACAGGAATTCAGTCGGGAATCAAATAATCTGTGCATGTAAAGCCCAGCATTGATCATCACAGAGGCTGTAGACTCCCTCAGTCTGTTAGAAACTAGACCCATGAAAGTCTGAAACAGCACAACAATATGACTGCTCTATAGAAATATCTGTTTATTAGACTGACAGGGACAGTGTAGACTGTCCCTGTCAGGATTTTAAAAAGTGAGCCAGCTTTGTGGTACTGGAAAACCTGAGCTGAGCCCAAAGTTAGATGAATAAGCCACTGATCTCGCTTCATGGTACAGGCCCCAGACCAGAGAACATGAAGCTTCTACACACATGCTGTACATAAAATATGGACAATGTGTCACCACTTCCCTCGACTGTGCAAAAGTGAAGCTAAAATATCATGAATTCAGCAGCTGCCATCTTGCTTTTTGTAACCAGATTCTGCACATTACTGACCAGAGGTGGCATGACAGCATCAGGCCGCCAATCAAAGCTGTCAACTCACCTGAAACACACCTCTTTTTATACCATCAAATAACTAATTAAAAACAAACTAACCAGAAAAAAGACCACTTGTACACACATCAGCCTGATAATACTGTATCTACAAAATACAACAAAAATCACCTCTGGGAAAAATGTGTTTGAGTTGTACTTTTAGTTTCCAGTTTGGCTCATGTCCCATCCAATAACATGGGGAGGCAGGGTTTCTGACCTATAGTGTAACCAGCCACCAGGATGTGATCAAGTCATTGTGGCCTCACTTCTGGGAGCCGTCACACTGTCCATCATATATACAGTCAGTGGTTCTACAGCAGAACCTCAGATATCATAGAGGAGAAACCAGAGAACACTGGGCCACAGAGATAATAACGTTTGACATGTACACCTACACTAGCGCATGCTCCTATTATCACCTGCCATCATATGTCCATAAAAGTCTGGATGCTGACTGGTTTCTCAATTTACCTTCTGTCTGGCAGGAAGCAGATCTTGACATAAGGGTTCCTGGGTCGGCCATCATCTCGAACAGGAAGATCTTTGGCACCAAGAACGGTGACAATCAGCTGATGACCAACTTTATCATACCAGAGCTTTAGCTGTAAGAAAACAGATATTAAATCAGGACAACAACATAAAACACAGAAGCCTCCAAAGAGGGACCCCGGAGAACAGCAGAAGAACCCCAGACCACTGGAGGAGAATCTGCAGAGCAGTGGAGGAAACACACTGAAGAGAAGACAATCCAAAACAAAGAGCTGAACCATACAGGCTACAGAGCTGGACTAGACTGGACTTACACAGTGAAGCAAAGCACTTTACACTATATTTGCCCATTCACACACCGACGGGACGGTTTGACATGTGGACTGAGGAAGCTGGGGGCTGAACTGCTGAATAAAGCTCATTTAAAAAAAAAAAAAAAAAAAAGACAGCCACCGGTGCCATTGTAAAACCCAAATTTTTTGACTGCTCCTGGTTTTGTAGATATATTTTCCCTTCTGCTGCTGCACTGTGACCAGAGGATGTGGAGAAAAATACAGGGCCTGAGATTACTGCATGTCCGTGAATGTTCCTGTACAGGGACTCACTGTTTTACCTGAACGGGTCTAACCTACAAGCAGCCAGCCAATGAAGCCCCCATGGTGGTGCATGATCAGCTGATCAACGCTAGATTCCGGAGCACAGGACCTGTTTGTTTTGACTGCTCGAGGCAAGTGTGTCTGCTGCATGTGATGTTGCTGTTCGTTGTGCTGTCCACTTGCAACCACACTGGCAACAGGAGTTGTGCATGTTCACAAACTATCCTCTTGTTTTTAGCAAGAGGCTTTCTAATTATTTCAGAATGATAAAACCAGACTATTTGGAGTTATGAGGTGTGCCAAGATAATCTAGAGGTGCCCAAGATTACACATTAAATGGCTGGAAACAAGCAAAATGAGCAGCTATGGGCTCTTTAATGCCACTTCACAAAGTCTGATGCTGAATGTTTTTCCCCTCAGTCCAGGGGAATATAGAACACAAATGGGAGCACTGATCATTCCAGTCAGTGCAACTGATTTGCTTAGAATATTTATTGGTTTGAAACAGTGCTGCTGAAGCAGATGGTCAAGAAGAGAGAAATGTGGGAGGAGGTGAGCAGCCAACACGCTGCTGCTCTGGGATAGCTAATACAGAAGGGACAAGTCAGATGAACAGCACTATAGCGTTACTATATTTAATTAAAGAAAAAAGTGTGACCACCCTACTGCCCCAAATAGAATGTAATTCTGTGGGAAACTGCAGTTTTAGTCACAAGTTAAGCTCATGCACAGTTCGTGCACAGTTCTAAGGTCTGAAGAGAGTCTAGACCTTAATATTATTATTACAAAGGAAAAACCCAACAAACTCCCCTGAGCAGCACTTGGCAACAGTGGGGAGGAAAAACTCCCTTTAACAGAAGAAACCTCCGACAGAGCCCTGCTCTTGGTGGGCGGCCTTCTGCCTCGACCAGTTGGGGTGAGTGGATAGAAGAGAGAGAAAAGAAGAAAAGCAACAAGACACTATGGGGCTCACGAGGTAGGGCAGTCGTCTCCTGACCAGCAAGTTGGTGGTTCGACTCCCAGTCTCCCCGCATGCCTAAGTGTCCCTGAGCATGACACTGAACCCTGAATTGCTCCTGGTGGCTTGACTAGCGCCGTTGTGTGACAGCCTGTCGTCATCGGTGTGTGAATGTTGTGTGTGAATGGTGTATCATCTCCTGTAAAGCGCTTTGGCCAGCGCAACACACTGTGGAAAAATGTGCTATATAAATACAGTCCATTTACCATTTACAATAAACAACAACAAACAATCAAACACTGGTCAGGTCGATGTGGCCGGTGACTGCTCATCAGAAATGTAGAGCTGGCCAGGGCCAGGGCTACCTTTCTGCAGGGAGAGAGAGAGAGGACACACTACGGGAGAGAGGAGACAGTTAGTGACCGGTAGTGGTGGTGTATAGATGGATGGGGAGACAGAGGAGAGGAGGGAAGCTCAACATCATGGGACAACCCTCAGCCTAGGTCTATAACTAATGGATTGTACACCAGACCAAACAGCAGCTTTGAGGTTACGGACATGTTGCTATGACAAGTCCTACAAGACTTTGAAGGAACCAACATGTCCAGCATCATGTGAAACTGTGAACAAAGTTACCAACTACCTTGTGAACCCATGTATGAAGAACAGGCCCCAGGGCAGTGAACTAACAACTACAGAGTAAAGATAGGTAGAGCTGACAGATGTCTCACTCTTCTCTGCTTTAATAATAATACTAAGGTCTAGACCTCACTATGGAAAGTGCCCTGAGATGATTTTTGATGTAATTTGGCGCTATACAAATAAAAGTGAAGAGAATTTTTCTACAGTTTACCTGAATTCTGGGAACCAGAGGACGCCTGTTCACAGTCTGAAAAACACACATCACCATGGAAATGGCTGTTAACTGACAGCTGATTGGCTGTGTGGCCACGCAGTGCAGGCTGGGTTAACTTACAGAGACCAGTCCTGACAGAATGCTGGGACTCATGGGAGACATGACGGAGATGGATGGACCAACTTTCTGCAAGTCAAAGGAACTGGAACCTGAACAGGAATGAAGACAGGGAAAACAGTGTCATTTAGTTTGTGAAACTGGAAAATGGCTGAGTTATAACAGAATCAATAGTCACTTTATTTTATTACTTGCAGTGTTCATAGTGTCAGAGCGGATGGTCAGTGTCTTTTAATGATTTACCAAAGTGGCACATGAGCCAAAGATAATGAGGCTGTATTCTATTAGTGTCTATGCAAGGACAGAGATGTGTCCCTCCGACATTTGAGCAGGACACCCGGAGCATCTCTGTGGTGGATGTGTTGTGTAATACACTCACTGGAGTCCAGCTGGACGCGGGAGCTGTCGGCTGCTCTGGAAATGTCTCTGAGGAACAAACATCACAAATCTGTTAACAGAGCATTCTAACAGAAGTTCTGGTTCTCAGTAGAGCATCAGGATGGTTTTGTGTCCTTCAGGTCAGGCTGTTACTTTGGCCATCAGTGCTGCTGACTGCTGGGCGGATCAGATGTTTTAAGTGAAGTACTTTCTCAGAACTCTAATTTTGGTAAGTGCTGTGTTTCCTGCCCTTCACCTTAACTCAGCATCAGAAAAGCGTAAAATGTGTTCACATTAAAAAAAAAACACCTACAGTTTTTTCTTGTTCCATAGCTAAAGTCAACTCTCTGATCCACAATAACATAGTAGAAACCTTTCTGTCATATTTCCAAGACTCCCCATTAGTGTCTGAAACACAGACTCAGTGTGTGACCTTGGACTCACCTGATGGGACGGGACACCACCAGCTCCACCTGTGGTTCTGACTTGGACTCCAGGATGATGTTATAAACTTCATTAAATGTGGCTCCCTGTAGAACATGGCCGTTCCACTCCAGAACCTGATCACCTATATTAGAAAAAGAAGGTTGATGGTTCTGATCGTATCATGTGACCAGCTGTGGTCCGTGTGATTCTCTCTCAGGGTCGGACCACAAAGCCAGATCAGTTATCAGCTCTTTGGGCTTAACTCAGGTTTAGAGGTGTCATGAAACAGTTTTAACTCAGCAGATCACAATGGTAACCAAGTTCACTACCATGGTAACCTGTGCTACTTCAGAGGATCAACCACCCAAATACTGAACTATCTGATCACTGAAAAAACAGTCATCACTCCTACTGGAGCCTGACTGGGACAAAAGAGGTCACAACAAAGTGACAGATACTTGAGTTATATTTATTTGGCCAGCAGAATCACTGTTCAGTCCAGATTTCAAACAGAGCAAGAGATCACTGCTACATAACTACATGATGATGACTATTTACCTGGCCTCAGGTGTCCCACCGTGTCAGCCAGACTTCCTCTCTTCACTTTGGTGATGAACGCACAGAGGTGTCCAGACTCCGTCATTTTCCCCCCGACAACCTGAAAACACACCACCCATGAGCAAGGCGCTAATATAGCTTGAGGTTAGGGAAGCATAAATATAAGAAGAGATTTTTTTAAGTAGTAGAAGAAGAAGAGTTTGCCACCTTGAGACCCAACAGCGCTCCTGTATCTACAGGAACTGTCCCATCCTTCATCCTCTTGTTCAGTAGGATTTGACCAATCAGATGCTCTCCATCCTTGGACAGTTGCCATGTGACTGGTTGCTGAGGAGTTAAACACATGGTTGCTTAGCAACAGCAACAAGAAACAGCAGTTTTATTTAATATTTTTAACAAAGCTTTTCTTTCTAATTTTAATTATTCTCACTGTGCTTGCTGCTGTTCAGGTGAATCAAAGTTCCACACAACACCTCACACTCCAACAATAAACATTTAAAGACATTTAACCTGCTGACACCAGAATGTTTCAGGGTAAGTGCAACTGTATTTAGTAAACTTAATCTTCTCTAAATATTTTCACTTTTTTACATTTAATGTTAAGTCCTGCTGTTTGGACTGAACTAACGGCTGCTCATTATTCAGTAGTACCTGTTATATTTTTAGCACAAACACTGTTGTTTCAAAAGTTAAAGTGTTTATTTGTCATAAGCAGAGTTAGGAAACATGTTTCTGTGTACAATGAAATTCTTACTTTGCCATCCACATGAATGCCACACAATACAAATGAAATATAAAGTAGATGAATAAGTAACAAAATCTAAGGCACTTTAAGCAGCAAATGCTGAGATTTGCTGCTTTTGTTTTTGTTTGTTACTAAAGAGATCTTGTATCTGTTATGCTTACTATGTAAATCCTGCATTAGTTGCCAATTTCAGAAGATAGAGAATAGATTTGCAAATATTTATTATTATTATTAAGACTCTTAATTGTGTTTCTTAAAGAACAGTAAACAGGCCTAGAGTGTTTAGTTTAACTGTGCATGACGACGCACTGATGATGACAGATCTGTGAGATCAGGTGAAGATATCGCACAGGTTCTAAAGGTAACTCGAGTGATGTCACACAGGTGAAGGAGAAGGTGGAATGAGGAGGAACCAGAAAAAAATAACAGCATATGAAACCACACAAGGTAATCGGAACAGAGGAGGAGAACAAGAAGCTGACTGGCCCACTGATCAGGTGGCGTACTAGCGCCTGATTAGAGCTGTGACATCATCACTCAGAGGAGGACAACAGAGTAGAACCTCGTCATCCTGGTTCTTCATTTAGCTCAGTGCTGCTGCAGGTGCCAAAACCCGCTGCTCCAGCCAATAATCTTCCTGCTCTGACCCATGTGCCCCACACAACACAGTCTGGTGCAACTGTTCACACTAATGCTCAGATCGGATTTTTTGCCAAAATCCGATTTTTTTGCGCTGTTGTTCACACTGTCATTTAAATGCGACTGCCATCTGTCTGATGTGTGAACGGTATACGGCCCTGAGGTGACCCGCATGCACAGAAGAGGACGTGACGTCAGATGCAGCGTACTGTGTTTGCAAAAATAAAAATGGATGCGGCTCGTGATAGCATGTGCGTAGCGATGTACCAGTTAATGTGCAATTGAAATAAAGAAATAATAAGAGGAAGAATATCAAGAAGAAGGAGAGCACAAATATTGCTTATGGCCTTTTGTGGAGCAGTGGCTGCTACCTCTGTACAGAGGAATGTGTGGGTGACAATAAAAATCAATGACATAAAAATCGCATGAAATGCGACATGGCCATTCAGACTGAAGTTGCATTGCAAAACATCGGATATGTATCCAATTTAGGACCACATATGAAAGTGGCCTGGGCCTGATTTGAAAAAATCGGATTTGTGCTGTTCACACTGTCATAAGGAAATCAGATATGGGTCACATTTGGGCAAAAAGGTCGGATTTGGGCCACTTCAGCCTGCAGTGTGAATGTAGTCTAGTGGCTTGGAGAGGCTGGCCGGTTTTCGGTTTCCCCTGCTGGTGTCACCTGGGGCGCAGCTGCTCAGTCGGTGAGGGCAAACAGGTGGGGGCGGGGTTAGACCAATGGCTTAATGGTGCAGGTGGGGCTTAGTCCTACCATGGACATGGGTGCAGGCTCGCCGTGCCAGGAACCATGATCCCACCATTGGCTGTCCATGTCTCCTAGCGAGCAGACATCCAGAGGTCAAACATCACAGTAGCTGTAAACAAAAGATGGACTGAGATAACAATCAGGTGAAACACAGTGATGTTATGAACTTCCACAGGAGTTCAGTTTGCTAACAACAGTTTCCCATTAGTGTGTCCACTGTTCTTTGGGTTGTGCTAATGTTATATTCTCCACCACTTGGACAGATTCGGGGAAACAAGTACATAGAGATAACAGAGTGAGCTGCAGCAGCCTCCAAATAAACCTGAATTATACATAAATCATCTAAGACACGTGTGTGAGTTTGAGCCAAAGCAAACAGAGAGAGAAGCCAGCTGGAACGAACACGGCGAATGCCTGCAACACAAGATGTTTCTGAGGATAACCCAAATATCCTGCGACTTTAATATGCTAAAAATGACTACAGTACAAAGACTAGCCTGAAATCACTGAACCTCTGAGTGTGGCACTGATACACCAGGATGTCCCACAATGCAACACTGGACAGAAGTGAAGGAGCTGGGGTCTGGAGGTGGTTCTGGATCCTCCAGCAGTGATCCGTCCTTACACAAATACCTGTGTCAGAGCAGCTTTAAGCACACACTCTGCTGTACTCACAACTCTGTCTGAATGCCATGGAGGAGGAGGAAGAGGTGGAGGATGTGTCTGTGGGTGCTATATGCCCTGAGCCCTGCCTGCAGAGCAGCTCATACCTGTCTGTAATGAGAATAAGCAAGTCCAAACATCAAGTCCACGTTTTTGTCCGATTCCATTTTTACCGCTAGCCACCTCCTCACTGCAAACTGATAGCTCCAAGAGTTAGCCTGCTGCCACCCTGAGCTGCTTGATGAGCAGTTAGTTTGGAGGTGTAACAGTAAATTGAATGCTGGTAGAAGTTGGCGAGTTGCTGGCAACATTGCAGCCAAAACTCAGCCCTTCTCCTTCCTCCTTTAAACCAGATCACAGTCGCCAAAATCCATCAGATCACAGAGGAAATCACAGACACTCCAGATCACCAGGGACTCAATAGTTGTAGTGTTGCTGGTCAGCCCTCTCTGTCAGGTGTGTAGACATGTTGTCGTCTGGTTGCTCTACAGCTGCGTTGCCTCCTGCAGTCTGTTTCTGTTCTTGTATGTCCGCAGTGGCTCCCGAGGAAGGCTGCTAATCCACACTCTCCTCTTCTAATCCAATTGAACAGAAGTGGAGATGCCCAGCAGTGCCACAGCAGCCAGGTGGAGGTGTTCTGTTCTAATCTGAATCACATTAGCAGAATGGTTCTCCAGGATTCTCCAAGGTCCAGAGCTGTTCTCCTGGTACTTGTTTCTGTCTGGGTGTGTTCAAGGTGATGACAGCAGAGAGTCCAAACTGCTTTGTCACCTCCAGACCTGAGAGGAGGAGCCAAGATTCCTCTGAGCCAATCACAGCTCATAATCTCTGACCAGGTGACTTATGGTCCAATGGCACACAGAGCCAAAAGATTAATTTGTCAGCATGGCACTTGATTTCCTGTGAGATGAGCTGCAGCAACTGCAGTAGTCGTACTATGTAGAACAGTGAACCTGGGACACCACCACAGAGCAGCAGGACTCTGTGGAACAACAACAGAATCTAACTTTACAAAGTACAAAAGGAACCTTACTGAACAGTGCAGGATTGCATCAGAACCATACAGAACAGAGGACAACCAATAGGAACAACAAAGGAAACCAATCAACTGGATCACTGAGAACCAAAACAAAGCCCAACAGAACTGTCTTAGAACCATGTAGAACATGAGCTGTGACGGAGGCTTGATGGAACAGCAGAACAAACTAAACAGAACTGAAACAGAACCCCAAAGAGCAGTGTTAACAGTGACAGGGAACCACTAGGAAGAGCAAAGGAACTGTATAGCCCAGAGCCTTTAGAACAGAGGCAAAACCATGTAGACCACTAAATGAACCATCAAGGTTATGGTACCTTTTAGAACTACAGAGAAGTCTGAGGAACAGAACCCTAAAGAACAGAGGAAGAACCATAAAGCAGAACAGATGGGGGGCCTTACAGGAACTCCGTGGGATAAAAACAGAATCCAAACAAACAGTGACAAAACACCTAGGAACTTTAAAGCCACCACTGGGACCATGCAGAACATCGAACCATAAAGGACTACAGTAGAGCCATACAAATGCAGAGTCCAGCAGAACTTTGGTAATGTTTCTCCCCAAAAGTAACGTTCTACTGTGGATCTGTCAGTGTTCGAGCAGGAAGCCTCTGGTGCCTGTGAGATGAAGTGCAGGGTTAAGCTGCTCAGCCAGAGTGAGGGGGACACAGGGTTCAGCTGTAAGAGGCTTATGACACTGAGCTGGTTACCGTCAGAGACAGAGTAACACAACACAAACTGCTCTTTCTGTTTCACATGCCCCACTAATGAAGGCATCCTTACAAGTTTACTCCTGGGAAACTTCTTGTTTTCCACTGAAGGTGACTTGCACCTAGACGTCACCTATGAAGATGAGTGTTTGTCCGCTAGGGGACAGAGAAACATGCAGACAGACAGAATTATGTTTGAATGCATGAACAGATGCTACTAAACCTTTCTCATCAGCTTCACCTGGCTCTGTCTTCATAACACTGCAATATTAAACGTTTGTACCAATCCTTAGAAACAGTAGTTGACAAAACAACTTCACCACAGCCTCAGCATACTGTCTACCCTCTGAAAGAGCTCTGTTTAGTATCTGAGCTCAGTGACCATCATGTGCTTGCTTAATGGAGGTGCTGCTGGCATCCTGTGATTGGAGGCTTTTCCCCAGGTGAGAACCAGTCCCTTTTAAAAACCTGGTGATCTTTGAGTTTCACCTGATGAAGGCATGAGAAAAATGGTGTTAATACAGTAATGGACAATGTGATAGATTCTTCTAAAAGTATATTCCAGTTCCTTCTTGGTCAGGTGTCATCTGTGCTGCGGTCACGTGATGACACCTGAGCAAGTCTGGGTTCCAGTTAAAAGCTGCAGAGAAAGTCAGTAAGTGAACCTTGAATCATCTTCCAACAGAGGAAACCCTTCATTGTTCAGTCTGTTTGAGCCTCTGCTCTGACTTGCAGGTTTTCTGTCTGACAGCCTTGGAGATCTACCTTTGGCCCAAAGTATGTAGACAACCCTGAACCCTGTGTTTGGAGCTTTAGCATGAAGTCACCTAGCCTCATGCAGCCAGCTGTTAGTATGCAGCCACTTACTGTCGGGCTCATCACAGCTGGTATATTCAGGCATGGTCACTAGCTCCTCCTCAGAACTGCTGAAGCTACCGATCACATGCATCTTCCCAATTCTTCTCCCCCTCTGTGCTACACTCTCATCGGTCAACTTCTTCTGGAGAGTGGAACTAGGCTCCAGGTTTTGCTGTGGTAAAAGGCTGCACTGGGGAGATGTGGGCCTGACACGGTTGGCTGCCCGGTCCACAGAGAATGACCTCTGAGCTCCAGATCCAACCAAGCCCTCAGGTCGATTCAGATGGAGAGCTGAGAGAAAACAAATCCAAGTGTGTGCCCTAGATCTGGGCTGCAACAGGTATGGATAGTTCTATTCCTACCTGTGCGTCTCAGGATCAGGTGGTCAGGCTGGGCAGCTGCCAGGAAGACGGCGCGTTGGTGGCGTTGGTGGCGGACCCTGCTGACATGAGCCAACATTCTCATGGCCTCCTCGCTGGGCTGCAGCTTCACTGGTTTTAACGTGCAATTTTTATTTTTTTATTCCACTTAAAAATGGGAATAAAAGTTATTATTCCATTATTGTTTATATGTGATGTTTGCGTAAATGTCTAGTGCTTCACACAGTAAAATTAATAAATTAAGAAATAAAAGATCAGAATATTTTTAGCTCCTTTAGTCTGCATTACAAAATATTACGTCATATTACATGAAAATGCTAAATATTGTCGACATGCTTCCTACCTGCCTGATCAGACTCACCTCTGAGTACAAACGTCTCGTCCATCTCTGATTGAAGGCCTCCGGTCTAGCAGCTCCTTCTCCTCATTGCCATGGTAGCTGTGTGGTGAGCAAGCATGGAGGTTCAGACAGAGGTCAGAGGGTGAGTGAGGCATCCTACCCCCCTTATCATTATAGCATGACTCAGAGGGACTCTACTTTCTGTCAATCTCGCAGAACAGGCCAATCAGACAGGAGGAGGAGGAGTTACCTGTATGACCAACACAAGTTGATCCTTATTTAAACTGGATGAACTAATTATAATGTGACATCCATGAGTGTGTTTTAACCAAATAACTACAATTACTGCTTTGCAGATAAATGCCTCTGCCAACCAGTCAGCTTGCAGTTCACAGACTCGTATGTAGTGAAGACTTTGAAGGAGTTCATGGTGTTTGTGAGAATGGGCTGTTAGGTATTTTTTTAGTCAGATAGAAATTGGGTAGATACTTGTTGTATTAGAAATGTTTAGTGGAGACAGGATGTCTAGGTAGGCTGTTAAATGCTTAGTCATTCTCATGAGTTTTTTGCAGGGTGCATATGGCCAAGGATAACGAGATACTAAAGTTTGACTGTCAGCAGGCAGGATGATTATTGTTATTATTATGATATGTTTAACCGTAATTGTAATCATAATATTTTCTTATGTTTAATGTCATGACATGTCACTAGATGTCATGTCAGAATGTTCTTAGATACACACCACTTAATCAACA